ATTTGATCTTCTAAAGCAGTCCAGAAGTAACACCTCCGAAGAGGTAATTTTCTGAAAACCATCTCAGACAGATTTTTATTTGTAAAATTGACACTTTAGTTTGCCACGCATCTATCGGTAGTAGATAACGGTTACAAAATTAACAATTAATTTATCTAAAATAGAAATTTCTTACCTGGGCTGCCTGGAAAACGCTTGAAAAAATCAAGAGGCTGTGCTGAATACGGTCATTACAGGCTATCAAGTGAACTCGAAAAGCTCGGTAGAAATGTATCGTTATGTACTGTTGTCCGGATGCCGCTCAATTGAACTGGATTGCTGGGATGGGCCAAATAATGAGCCAGTGATCACTCATGGACCTTCGCAGCTTACCAGGGTGACCCCTGTCCTCTTCAAGGTCCGCAGTTCATTCTTTCTTCAGAATTACTGAATAAAAAATATGTGTGTGTTGCCCGTTCTATTTCTGGGTGCTTTGCGTCAGCGAGCTACCGCTCAAAGTTGTAGAAAGCCGTTGGAGGTATGTGACTGGGCAAAAGACTATATACATTTACAAGGCGTATATATATATATGCCAAGAGTGTATAAATTAGTAGTAATTCAGACTCTTATGAGATGATGATGATAGCATGAGATGACAGTAGTTAATAAGGAAATTCTTGTATTGCGATCATGGTACTTCACGATACCGAAGTACATTGACTATTTCAGGATGTGATCATCGCAATAGCGAATACGGCATTTGTGATGTCCGAATTTCCCGTAATCCTGTCACTGGAAAACCACTGCTCGCTGAAGCAACAAAGGAAAATAGCACAGTACTGTCGCGAAATTTTTGGAGATCTGCTACTCAGCGAGCCCTTAAGCGAATATCCGGTACCTTCCCATTCAGAGTTTCAAATTCTCCATTCATTGCTGTTTTGCTGATCCCAATAATGAGGCTCACAAGAAGGCATTCTTTTCTTCTCAGGAGAAATAATAATTGAATGCATACCAGATCAAGCAAGGTGTCAGCCTACCGTCGCCAAATGCGCTCAGGAAGAGAATTTTGATCAAAAATAAGAAAATTGAACGCCTCCGATCCAACTATTCTTTCAGTAGATCAGGCAGTAAGTTTCAAGCTTTTTTCGTAAATCAAAGTCAAAAATCAAAAATCGCTGTGAAAAACGGACCCACTCGAGAAAAAGTCCGAGCGGTCGCAAATGCCAAGAGCAACCATCCGCTAGCGAGGCTGCCACTGGCTCCTTTTTTGAGGGGTTGCTTGAAAGAAAACTACGGGTTGGCTTAACTTTCCCACACATGCCAGTACCAATTTACCACCGAAATAAATAAGCGAATCGTTGAAGGATTTGGTCATCCAGCTGGCGTAGTCGAGTAGCCAAGCTTCTGCGCAACAAAAGCGCTACTTTTCATCGCGCCATGCTCGCTGGTTTTTCCCTACAGATGAAAGACTGCCAAAAAATGTGGGTCTTGATAGGCCATAAACTGCTTTCAGTTTGTGTTTTTAAATAAATGAATTTGAACACTTATGCAGGCAACTGTGCAGACATCTCGCTTTTGTAAAGCGCATATTGAATCAATGCTTTTTTTTTGAGCAAAAATCTAGTTTTGCCAGCATATTTATGTTTGTTAGCAGACTGATAACTACCAATCTTTGTGCGTTTCCTCTTCGAGCCTGTACAAACGATATTTCCACAGAATTAACCAGGATTTTTTTAAAAAGGTTTACTCAGCTGAGATATAGTGATATAAAAGCACTTGGCTTACTCAGCTGAGAAATTTTACTCACCCAACTGCATGCGCTGTTGTCAAACCCTCTGAATCGCTTGGATGTTAAAAGCGCAAGAAAACTGTTATAAATACTCTGGCTTCTTCAGGTTTGTGTGTTTTTTTTTTGAGCAAAGTGCACTCTAAGTAGTTTGTGAGAGCGAGCATTTTTAGCTAATAACGAACAGTAAAAAAACTTGAGCAGTAAAAATCGTCGAAAGTGCATCATATTTGTGGATTTTGTGTAATTTAGGATTATTTAAAAGTAATTTCTGAAAAAATGAGGCCATCTTTTTCCTGTTGCCCTAGTGATTAAAGGAAAAGTGGTAAAAGTTGAAATTGCTTATTATTTGTACATAAAAGATTTATCGTGCTGGAAGATACTTCTACCACTTTTACATTTAAGCTTGCTCCTTAACAGCTTCCTTTTTAAGCTGACGAATCGGTGCAGAAGCAGGGATCGATTGATTCAACTTTTAGCGATAAAGGTTCGTTTTTTTTAAGCGATTGTTACCTTACACAGATTATAAAGCGGTGTGAATTTAGTATAGTAAACATACAAGCCGCTAGATTACTGTTTTTTTTTTTTTCAGCACCTACTTCACAAAGTGCTGCAGAAAGCGATTTGAGTGAAAGCGAATACAGCGAAAAAGGTATCAGGAAAGTTTTTTCTATATTAGCATCACGTTGTCAAGCTGGCAGTTGAGGACTGCTTATTATTGCTTCAATTTACGGACCAAATGAAAGCGCCGTTTTTTGGCCAGTACTCAAAAGTTTTTTTTTTTTGATAATAGATTACTCAAAAACTTCTCCTATGCAGTCAAATTTTATATTTTTTCCTGTAAATTTTGTTGGAGTTTTTTTTTTTTCAATTCTTCCGATGAAATCTAAATAGCAAGGTGACTGGTTTCAGATGATACAGTT